GATAAACCCTTAAAAACCTGAAAATCTTTAATAACCACCAAGATGCAATGCCAAAGTATGATTTAAATACTAATTAACCCTCCACATTAATTACAAACAGCTTCAGATTTATAAAATTTAGTGAAAATGACGAGACAAATTCAGCCTTAATTTCAGCCATTTGCTTGACTCTAAAGGAGTTTCAGACTTGCAGAGATGACTGAAATTCATACTAAAGACAAACCCATGAACAACAGAAATTCATGAAGTGTTAAGGTGGGACTCACATATGAAAGCATGAGGATGCTCAAGTTAGGTTCACTTAGTGTATTCAAGATGATCAAACAACTATACTTATACCGATGAAGGTATTGCTTAAGGATTGTAAGAGGAAAAAGAGACAAAAACGAAAACCAAAGAGAAGAAAGAAAAAGGTAATCAACGACAAATTCTTTAACACAAGTAGATTACTTCTGTTTTTGTTACTTCTCAAGGGGAGGTGTCAAATAAATCATATATCTATTGGTGCCCTTCAGAGGATTAATTCCAACTTTCTGAAAAGCATCCTTGCTGCTTTCACATGGGTATCACCTGCACCATTAATTTGGGAGTGTGCTATTTTTACAACAAAACCATTTCAAAACAAAAACAATGTAACAAATCACGCTGACGGAAAAGTCATAAGCCAGACAAAAAATGTGGCTGAAAATCTCTTTTTCAGTCCATCTCTGTGTTTGGACACCCTGACAAAACACTCTAACTTGTGTTTGATTTATACTAATACACTAATCTGGTTACTTAAGTCAACCAAGCAGCAAACAACACTAACCAACCTGAAAGCTAGCAGCATAATAGAATTCAATTAGTTTTAATTTGGCAACAATGTAATTGACACTGGTAGCAAGCATGTTATTATCGCTGCAGCTGAAAGCTTCGCTCTTAAAAATGAGATAATGAGGTAAATAATTCCTATGCACAACCATAAGGTGTCAATTTACTGTGACATATGCCAAATTACTCCAATGAGACACAATAATTTATCAAGTAAATTTCAGTCAGATCTTTTTCATTTCCTTTCCACTCTCAGTGTTTGAATAATTCCTATATGGATGTTAACCCTTTAAACCCAAATATCAAAATTTCAAATTCTCATTGTTGTCTGTATGCATTTCCTAAAGAAGTAGTGGGTGGAAGTTGTGAAAGTATCAATTATTGAATTCATCTTGTGTGATCATGTCCGTAATGCTCGTCACCAATCTGTTTTATAATTATACTACAAGGAGGAGTTTCATTCTGACCACTCCTAGGGTTTAAACGGTAAAAGAAAAGTCAAAATGCTGGTGCCTGCATCTAAGCCACACCCCCAATATTGGTTCTTTTTTTCTTTTTTCCGAAAAAATAGTATAGCGTGTATGAAGAGAAATTATGGTAAAATATAACTTTGACTTCTTTGTTCACCTCAGTGGTTTTTGAGGTAAATTAAAGATAAGGATATAAAATCTGCATTACATATGTGATGCTTTACAGGCTTATCTAGATCACCATTGATCATCAGATGATGATGATGATGATGACAATGATGTGTCAAATGTGCGCTAAACACCCAGCAAAATCAAGATTATACACTTTATGAAGACTAATTTCAGGTCCATTTTAAATCTAAGTTAGGAAAAGACTTTTCAGAGCTAAGCGAAGACAACTATAGTTCTCATCGTTACCCTAGTCGTCCTCCTTTTTCCCATGCTTCAAAATATGAGTGAATTGGTTGTAGTCTAAGTAGCCATCTTTGTCAATAGGCGCGTCACGAAGGACATCATCAACTTGATCTTCAGTGAATCTATCTCCCATCGTAACTAGAGCCTCTTTAAGAAAATCTTCATGTATTTTACCGTTCCCTCCTTCGTCGAAACAGGCAAACGCATTGTTGATTACATCTTCAGGATCTGTCCCGTTCAATTTCTCGCCAAACAATGTTAGAAACATTGTGAAGTTGATTGGTCCGGGAGACATCTTTATCATTTCCTCCAGGTAATCATCAGTTGGGTCTTTACCCAAGGAAGCCAGCATGTCATGTAGGTCTTCTTTATCGACGAAACCATCGTGGTTTTGATCTATCATGTTAAACGCCTCCTTGAATTCTTGAATTTGGTTCTGATCGAACATAGCGAACACGTTCGATGTAGCTCGGTGAGCTCGCTTTTTTGTTGTCTTCTTGGTCTTTGCCCTGGCAGCCATCTTGGTCTTCAACTTGCACTACAGCAAACTGGATAAAGCAACTGCACAAGAAAGATCTGAAACGCCTTATCGGATATAATATTTGCAAGACGAAAGTGTGCGAAACGCAACCTTGAAATATGCAAATGCTTACATGACGCGTAGGTCACATGACACACAGATCAAACAAAACAGCGGTTTTACGTATATTGTATGCGTCACAATTAACTTTAGTACGTAAAAAGAAATTTGTTAAAAGTTTAGTGACTCCAAGATTTAGCGAATTAACACGGAAAATGAAAGCTGAGAGAGGTCTCAGCATCAACAATCCGAACGAATCCTGGCTGGAAAGCAAGGGAACGTGGTTCACCTATGTATTGCTCATTATAATCGGCCATTTGGTTATTTTGAGCGTGCCTTTTTTCGATACCCCGACAGCATGGACCCTTACAAATATGTTCCATAATTTGGTAAGATTACAAATTCGTAGTGTTTAATTTACCGCCTATTTTTTCGATCAATTTTGTCTTGACTGGGAAATCTGATTTGGCTTTTGTATCAGCTGTTGGTTTAAAATAGTAATTTATTTAATGTAAAAGAAGGTATGTTTAGATTGATCAAGTTAATTTGTCCCGAAAAACGGTTGTTAATTTAGTGTATAAATTGTGATTGTCGTAGTATTTATGTTTGATTAACTTATTATTTCGCTGTTCAATATTACTGCTGGTCTGGTACTTTTTCAAGAACCAATGTAGCTTATTTTGGAGTAAGCTACAATTTAACAGTTGCACAAAAATTTACATTTGAGTACCTGCAACTACAATCCAAACTACACGTATGTCGTACTGGTGGTTCCCCCTGGTTTTTCTGATTATTGATGAGCTTACAGTTTAGTTTTGATTGTTTTGAATCATCCAGAATATCTGAAAGGTTTATAAAAATGTGCTAGTGTAACTTCTTTTGCAATAAGATGCATTGAATTGGTTAGTTTAGTATAAAGAGATGTTCAGTATAAATTTCAGTATACATTTAATATGTATTGACACTAGTCATCTCTTATTAATTGCTTGTCATGCTGTCGCTGTGTTATTACGGTGATAAAACCATTTTGACCACAGCAAAACCTCAATATAACAAAGTGCCAAGGGGTTAGCAAAATTTGTTTGCTACAATGAGGTTTCATTATACCAAGGTGCTTTTGCATATAATAATTTTTACAATAATTGGGGTAAAGAAAATCATTCATTATACTGAGGACTTTGTTATACGGAGGTGCATTATATGAAGGTTCCACTGTAACATGGTTATTTATTAATATCATGACTGACAAATAATTAGCCCTTAATTTTGGTGCAAAGTCTCAGCGTTAAGTTATAATTTACCTGTGAAAATGCCATATTTCCATGGCAACATTTCCTGTATTTCAAGCCAGTTGGTTCCAAAGGCTGAGTCATTCGAAAGAAGATAAATGCAAATCCAGTTTTAGTTAACATGACCATAGCCTGCAAAAACATCCGTTTCTCCATACTCTTCGATGCTGGGATGTTTTGCATGGAGGAACGTCTGCGACTCAGCGACAGAAATTCCATACTGATGACGCAAATCAATGTGTACATAATAAATCCGGTAGTCATGGGGCTCCAAATATAAATTTGTCCCATTTTACGAACGTTATGGTCGATTTTGGCAAAGTGTTTTGTTCATGTGCCAACAAGCTACGGCAAAACTCAAATGCTTCTTCTAGAAAAGACTATATTCCACAAACATTGACTGTTTTGTCAGAGATTCTTCACGTTTACATTTGACCTTTGTGGCTTTTTGTCTTTTCTCTGTCATTCGTAAACAATAGCTAAAAGAATGTAACTACTCCTTGGACCAATCTGCGCTTCTGACCGGAATTCAGACAGATTTTACGTCATAAGTATGGAATTTCTGTCACTGAGTCGCAGACGTTCCTCCAAGCGAAACGTCCCCAGCAGCGAAAAGCGTGGAGAAGAGGATGTTTCCTCAGGCTAACATGACCACTCAGATACTCTCTTTAAAGTTAGCCCAGGATTATTTTTAACCAGGCTTGGGACAATTTGGGTCAGGTTCTTAGACGCTATGATTGAAATGTCAGGGTATCAGAATTAGACGTCAGAATAGTTCATCCCTTCAAAGATCAAATAGCCTCCATTGCAGCTCATAGGCAATTGCATGATCTCAGCAATAAGGTTGCCCTCTCTTTACAACCTTTTTTGTCAGCAAAAAATTGGAGCCAGGCCTAAAGCTGATAGAAATTAAGCCGAGTATTGTAGGTCCGCATTACATAATATTTATCAAAACTGCGTGACGCACATTATGTTAGCTACTCAGGTCTCTAATGACTTCCAAAAACTTAAAAATGAGTTCAAGCAAAAAGCTTCAAGATGGGGAAATTATTTTTGAAACCAATTTTATTTAGCCAGTAGAAAAGGTGATCAAAATTTGTTAGATTGGTAATTTTCCTTGTGTCCTAGTTCATTCAAGACGCACAACTTAAATTAAGCTTAGCTCTCTGCTGGGGTTTTATCCCTAGTAAACTAGGTTCAAAACTGGTTTAAGCTGACATTGAATTCCACCTACAACAAAGGTGTTGCACATAACTTTGTGAAACCAACTGAAAAAAGTGAAAAATGAATGAAAGATGTTCTTCTATTCATATATATATGTTAAAGATCAGTAAAAAGGCTATTGTCTTTAGGCCTATAGTCATTGACATAGGAGACAGGATAGCCTGCAAATACAGCTGTTTCTCCTTGCTCCTCGTTGCTAAGGTCGTTTCACCAGGAGGATCGTCTGCAACTCAGCAACAGAAATTCCATACTGATGATGTAAATCAATGTTTACATAATAAACCTGGTAGTCATGGGGTTTCTAATGTAAATTTTTTTGATTTTATGTTTCTTCTGGTTGTTTATGGTAAAGTTTTGTGATCTTTCGCGAACAAGCTCCAGCAAAACTCAAATGCTTTTTCTGAAGAATATATTCTTTTAATATTCAGATAGATTCATCACGTTTACATTTGACCTTTGTGACATTTTGTCTTTTGTCTTTCATTTGTAAACAATAGGTAAAACAAAATAACTACTAAGTTGACCAATCAGAGCTCCTGACAAGTTTCCAGGCAGATTTTACGTCATCAGTATGGAGTTTCTGTCGCTGAGTCACAGAAATTCCTCCTGGTGAAACATCCCTGACAGTGAGGAGTTAGGAGAAATGGCTGTATTTGCAGGCTAAAGACAGGATGGGTGTTTAGAAGGTGAACAAATCTGAAGCTGGTCCACTTTATATAGACCTCAGGCTCTGGAGTTATTTTCAGGAGTGGACACAGGAATGATTTATTAATTACATGTGAATCAAAAGTTTCACATAATCTCCCTTTTTCTTGCAGAGCATGTTTATTTTTCTTCATTACCTGAAAGGAACACCATTTCAAACAGCTGATCAAGGCAAGGCGAGAAGACTTACTCACTGGGAACAGCTCAACCATGGCGAACAATTTACAGAAACAAGAAAATTCTTTACACTTGTGCCTATCTTCCTGTAAGTTTCTATACCAATCTTGCTAAAAGAGCTTCCTGTTTCTTGAAAACCTTTCCTTATATATCTAAATAATAAGATTATTGTAGAGTTCGTTATTGTGATTTGACTATTTTATCAGAATTGGGATAAAGTGGCAGCTTAGCTTTGGCAGTAGTGTGTCCTACTTCAGATGTCTGCCATAAATTAACTAAGTAAAACAAAAATGTGTTGAAACAATAGTAATGATTCTTTTGCAAATCACTTCAAAGCCATTCCCCTTTGTCACTCTCTACTTTGTTTTTCTTTTTTACATGCAATCATCTGTCACAGTGTAGGATTTTATATGTTTATGTGAGTGTGAGAATGTGAAGGGTGATAAACACCCACCACATGTACCGGGAGAGTTGAAAAAACTGACCCCCACTCCGCGGACTACCCACTGACCCCACTCCGCGGACTACTCTACGGACTACTCCGCGGACTACTCTACGGACTACCATGCGGACTACCCTAACTAATCAACCAAATTTACTTTCACGGAGAAAAGAGTTAGAAGAAGCGTACCTGCCTACAAGATCACACTTGATAAACAGCCGCCATCTTGATTTTCGCCATTTTACTCGACCCAGCTCTCCTTTAGCCTCGCCCCAGTCTTCATCGGCCACAAGTCAGAGCACGCCGTTCAGCCAATCGATGACCACTATTGGCGCTGGTAACAGTTTTTGTTATATTCAGCTTAAAAATGTTTTTAAGAACTTACTTATAGCCGTGCTTGGAAGTCACCATATTTTTGGATTCACCTGGCCCACAAGGCCCTTGGAGACGTATTCTCCTACGTAGGGCACGCAGTCGTTATTTGGATCGTCACGCGAGGTTTGGAGAGAAGCGTTGCGTGACGATCCAAGAACGGAAGCTGCAATGGACGTAGCAATGAAGAAGAAGGGCTGGGTCGAGTAAAATGGCGAAAATCAAGATGGCGGCTGTTTATCAAGTGTGATCTTGTAGGCAGGTACGCTTCTTCTAACTCTTTTCTCCGTGAAAGTAAATTTGGTTGATTAGTTAGGGTAGTCCGCATGGTAGTCCGCGGACTAGTCCGTAGAGTAGTCCGCGGAGTAGTCCGTAGAGTAGTCCGCAGAGTGGGGTCAGTGGGTAGTCCGCGGAGTGGGGGTCAGTTTTTTTATATACCGAACTTTGGTGCATGAAGTTGGTTGAGGTTAGTTGAATCCTCTTTGTGATGAATTTCTCTTTTACATTATGTTGTCATTAGAGTATTTTGACAACCTTTAAAGCAGCTTCTGGTAACTGTTTATATCTTTTCTTCATTGTGTGGTAAGGTATTATCAGAGAAATAAATGATCAAATTTTGTTGGAAATGTAAATGGAACGCTTCAGTTCAGTTGGAAATTTCTTTTGATTGAAAAATGTTGTTTCATTAATGTTTTGTTGCCTTTTAAAAGGCATTGCTTTCCTCTTAAAAACTCATCCTTCACATTTAAATTTGGTATATTGTATTGCGACCACCATGTCCGATATGAACAATCAAAACAGCTTGAAAGAAATAGAGGAAATTACATGGCGGCGCGGAGATACGAAATTTCTCTTCGAGTGTTGAAAAATATTTCACGACTGAGCGCAGCGAACGAGTGACATATTTTTTTCAACACAAGAAGAGAAATTTCGTATCTACAAGCGGCCATGTAATGTTATATTTATCATATAAACACCAATGAACTACCAAACCATTTCACTTTAATAGTTTTTTGGTGCGAAAGGCCCGATTTATTATGAAGCCATAGCAACGGTGATATTTTTACATGTGAAGATAACATGTTATTTTCACATGTGAAGATATCAAGTTTTGGTGCCGAAAGCTCACCTGGTATTTCAGTGGTGTTTGTGTAATAATACTATATCTTTAAACTTCTTTGAACCATAGACCAACAACACGTACAGTGTGGAACGGCATGCAGTGTGATGGGATGCGTAGAACAGAGCATTGATTGTGATATTATCACAAAATAAAAGAGTGATATTGCACATGCCTCAAATCCATTAGTAAAAATCGAAAAGTACATTGTAATTATTGTTTACGTCTTGTTCGATACACAATTTTCATTAAACTCGTTTCATTGACACCAAGGCAGCTTTTACCTATTAGGTACACTAGTTTAATATTAATTATTGGTTACATCACACTACTTCTTCTGCAAGAATAGAAATACCAGGGCAAGTTAATGTATCCATAATAACTATGGATAAAATTATAGCTTGCTCATTGGTACTCCTCCATGGAACTCAACTTTTGTTTGTTTGCATAATTTTCAGGTTTATGGTGACAAGTTTCTACACTAAATATGATGGAATTCATTTTGTTTTCAATGCACTGTCACTTCTTGGACTCTC